ACGAAACATAGAATCTGTTCAGGACATACCACAAATGCTATTAACAGGTACAATATCAGGGTGGACCCATTGTTCGTGTAAATTCAAATAATGTAGACCCATTTTATTAAAAGTAAACCATTTTACGGGAAAATATGAAAAATCTGGACCCATTTTCATAAAATTTTACCCATTTTAGGCTAAATTATAAGAAATTTGGACCCATTTTTTAAAATGAGGACTCATTTATGCACGAAACTGCATTAAATTTGGACCCATTTTTTAAAATGTGGACCCATTTTTTGTCGACCCATTGGCATTAGAAAAGTGTGTGGGACTGTCCCATTAGTTGGCTAGTAGTAGGCCTAGGCCAATGCCAGCCGAATAATAGTAAAGTTAGGGCCTTTGCTAGCCCGAGCCAGCTTAGGCTAGGCCCTAGGCTATACGGTCTACATCGTTCCGTAGACCTACATATGTTAGACCTATATAAAATTGACTTTGTGTTATATTTTAGAGTTAATATACAATATTCTATAATGATAATGTAACTAGGTCTAGAAAGACATCTTAAAAGTTGAATTTCATTCATTGAAAGACAAAATATAAACCTACCGCGTGCAGCAGGCATGTTTTCGGAAGTAAATACCATTTTATACACATGCGCAGATCGATTCGCCAGCAGCGAGTCATCGCCAGCAGCGAGTCGCCAGCACCGAGATGTCACTGCAGCAAAACACTACTGCACTTCAGGCAAATTTGCCCAGCACGTCGTGTAGGCATTGGCATTTTCCAACTCTAAATCTAGATCCTTTATAACGTAGGATAACGTACTGTTTGGAACTTGTTATTATGAGCAGGGATGTACAATTCATCTTTTCACTTTTAATTTGCGTTGCTGATGTGGCAAATCAGGCCCTATCCGAGTTAGGCTACGCCCTACCACCCCTTCTATCATCATCAGTATCATGGCCAGCCTACCGTACAGACAACACAGGAAATTTAAAGCCGAAGGCTTCTGAAAGTTTGACACAATGACAGATAACAATTTGTTGAAACTGCTGACCTAGCCTAAGCAAATAGTAGCCCTATATATATATTAGTGCACTTACCTCTTCGTTATATTACGAATGCTTTTTCTGCAATTTCTGGAATAGTATTTATATCTCTTTCTTAGTAGTAGTAGTTTTCAATACAAAGAATCTCCGCCGTCCTATCACAAACAACCAGAACAACAAGTATGAAGATTTGATCGTGAACGTTTGTCTAGCACAAACAGCTGATCGTTGAGTTGTGAAAGTTGAGGGCGAACAAAGGTCATTTTGTACGGGTGGTTGTTATCGATAATCGACTAAACAAAGACGATTATTTCGAATCTGTTCAGAAAGTACGGAAGAAAGCACCAATCTTTAGTACCATGAGAAATTTTAGCAATACTCAGTCCAGGGAGTTGTTATTTAGAACAACTCCCTGCTCAGTCAGTCTAAGTTGAGTTACTGCGAAAAATTGATAGCAAGATTATAAAATTACATTTGAATAAACTGAAATACATTTGAGTAGTGAACCACTTTAAGCTCATTGATATTTCGCAATATTTTTTGAAATATTACAATCGACTGCAGACACAGAATTTTAAATCTATTTTAATATTACAGTATTGGTTTTTTTTTATTATTATTAAATAAGAAAACACAATTTTGACACAAAATTGGAAACATGTAACTGAACCACCTTCAGGCTAACACATAAAATATAATAATTTTGATGTACTTGGAAATTACTATAATACCTCCATGTTGGAAGTAGGCCTAAATGATAATTTTTTATATGCCTTAATTTTTAAGTTTTATTTTTTGAACGAATAATATTTTTTTAACAAAAGAACATGGTTTAGTAAACCACTTAGAGCTCATATTATATTTTGTAATTGACTGTATTATAGAGAAAGTCTCTATGACTTTATTCACTTTTCGTCCATGTCGAATTTAAACTATAATGTATATATAGGGTCTGTACCCTAGCTGCACTGACGAGGCCTGGAAGGCCAAAACTGATCCGTCTGCAGATATTGGGATTCCTTCCAGTGGATGCTTAGTTTATTTTGTCATTCTGATCGGATTTCCTCTACTGTTCCGTTTTAATTTTAAATTGTTTTACATTATATGGCTGTTTGCTGTTTTATGGGCTTTTCCCATTTGCCTTTCAAACATATTTTTTGAAGTAAAATAAAAATAAACCAATCAAAACAATACTTTTAAGTAAAAAATAAATACTGTACTTCTTTATTATGAACATCTTTATTTATATTTTATATCTATTTATAAAGTGTTTGTTACCAATATAACAATAATAGAAAATACAACACAATACAGGGTATTATACAAATGAAAAACAAAATTTAAAACTCTGAAAAAGGAAGATTTAAAAATTAAAAAAGTTAAAATCATAAAATCGTTAGTATCATAGTGCTGTATAAATCTACAGTTTGAACTTGACATTTTGTCTGTGACTCTAGGGAGCTTTCGATTGCACAATGACAGTAGGACGTAGAACGTAATGACGTCACTAAAAGTCATCTGCACATGCGCAGCGAGAACGTTAAGGTCACCTCGTCGAGTAGATTCTGGAACCCAATTTTGGCCAAATCTACATATGCAGAGAACGTAGGGCGCCAGGTAGGAGGGTCATTCATGAGTGATTTCGTTCTAGCGTTGTGTCGTCGCACAAATTTAAAGCTCCTTAATGTGTGGAAAAATCCACACAGATCCAAGATTGTACATAAACTACTTAAAAGTCACAAAACAAGTGAATCATAAGCTCTTTCACTCTTGAGTATAAGTAAAACTTAAGTATCTATCACTGAAAAATCCCAATCCCTACAATACTTTGGTCGCATGTTTTTTTTTTTTTAAGACGTGTGTGAAACGAAGCTTACAGATTCAATGAACTCTTTAAGTCCCTTCAAGACTATCAAATTTTTTTTATAAAAAAAAAACCTGCTATATTGCCAGCCATATATAGTCATGGCGTGTCTATATATGGTCATGGTGTGTCTATATATGGTCATGATGTGCCCATATATAGTCATGGTGTGTCTATATATGGTCATGATGTGACGACATTATGACCATATGTAGGCATGTCATATGTTAGAATAGACTTGCTCTTCCACCAGATGCTATCACAACCTGTTGCTGGCTTAAAAGATTTAATCTTGTATGCCTTTTAAAAATTTTACCTTGATAATCCATTCTTAAAAATAATAATTACTGTAGTACCTGCAACTTGTTTAAATAGTGGCGGCACCAGCAGGGGGGAATTTGCCATCCCATTGGACAGATCTGGACCACCCTGTCGTCTTATGCCACGCTAGGTCGTCCAACACTACTCTAGGTTGTCGGATCAAAAATAATTATTTGCCTATCCAAATACTGTAACACTATTTTGATTGCTGATCCCTAATATTGTGGTCTAAAAGCACATGGACCATAATATGCCATAAAAACTCTCCCTTTGAACCCTACCAGGGATTTTTAATTCCAGGCCATCGACTGAGGCTCTAGTCAGCCTCTTGTGTCGGACCCTTCCGTCAGACAAGTCGGACCCCTTGTCGACAAGTTTCTGGCTCCACTGCTGCTTTTAAAACATCTTCTGTCTTCAGTTATTTTCATATTACTTTTACAAATCTTTTTTTACAAATACAAATACTGTATGTGCCCATATACAGTCATGATGTGCAAATATATTCATGTGCCCATATACAGCATAGTCATGATGTGCCTATATATAGTCATGATGTGCCTATATATGGTCATGATGTGCCTATATTATTATGATGTGCCTACATTATAGTCATGATGTGCCCATATATAGTCATGATGTGCCCATATATAGTCACGATGTGCCCATATATAGTCGTGATGTGCCCACATAGTCATGATGTGATGTAAATCTAATGTTTCTTTCAACTAAAATTTGACAGGGCTTAAAGTGACTAGAGATTATTATTAATAATAATTCTACATTAGCAAGACTTGGCATCAAGATTCTTCTTTGGAAATATGTTTACTCTACAATTCAGCAGAACAGCTTCACTAGAGGGCAGCACACCACAACCTATAAGACAAAAAATGAATATATGTAAATTGTACAAGTGTAACTTGTAAATACAGTAGAAGTACAAAATAATGAAAAACAAGCAATGATCTTACAGGATACAATTTGTAGTTATTAAGAGCTATGATTACAAATCACATTGATGAGCATATTTTTTAATTCCGGGATAAAATCACTATGAAAATCACATACTATATGCCTACTGTAACACTGACAGTAATATTATTTTACATGTATCTGTAATTAATATATTATCAATGAAATTACAAACAATGTATGAAATATGAACTCACTATATTTGTAAGACGGTTTCCATTATAGAAAATAGGCAAAAAGATCAAGTGACAATTAAGACAGGTAATTTCCACAATATTAGTCAGTTTCTGAAGTGAATGTTCTCGCTACACAAATTCAACAGAAAGGGTGGCATGTAATAAAATACTAATACTGATACAGCCACATGGGTTGAGTTTTCTTGCATTAGGCACTACAGTATGTAAATGTATTATTATCGTATTATTACATTACAGTACATGACTCGCAGGTTATTCATTGGAAGTAAATCATCCTCATCCTTGACAGCTCATCCATCACCTGTCCTGTAGATGAAGCAGGTAGTGTTTTATCTGTCCATTACCACCTCTACCTGACACCCACCTGTGAATAATAAAAATATATATATATATATATTATTAAATATATACTAGAGAATAATCAAGGCCATGATGGTTATGACAACCTTGAGTCAAAATCTGAGGTGTTCAGTGGTGAATTCGGGGGAGTCCACTGCCCCACCCCCTCCAGCCCCAACCAGGTCCATGGTGGGGCTGAGGTGGTCTAGACCATCCATCCATTAAAGTCCCTCCCTGGGGCCCCTTCTCTATTTAAATTGTTTGCGTGGCAGATATTCCCCATGCAGACCTCAAGTCTGGGTAAAGTAGTTCAGTAGTAGTAGTAGTACTACTAGTGAATTCCTGTACTAGGCCTACTAGTTATTTAGTAGTCTAGGTCTAGCTTGATATATTGACTAGCATCTAATTTATTTGTATCTACACTTCAATACAAACATGTATGTTTACTTAGTTTTGGTACCGTATAGTTTCATCGACCAAATCCCAGGCCTAGTCCACGGTGGCTATATTATACTGCTAATATAGGTTTCCAGACATAGGCCCACCAACAACTCTTTCCAACACAACATTCTGTGCCCGTCTGACAGCGCGAATGAACAGTGTGGTCTCTATAAGGGATCTAACAACACCAGGGCCTACAAAAGTTTTGATAAGTTATTCGTCAAAAATGATACTGCAATACGTTACTGATGATACCTTAGGTATATTAATCTAGAGCTTCATTGTCATAACTTACCACTGACATGTTTTTTGTCTTTTTTTAATGTTTCTACCTTCACGTAAAAATGCCTGCAAAATCAAAACAACAGAGTTCATTTCGAGAGCGCGAGCGAGAAATAATGGAAATATGTACACTACCGTTCGAGGGCGCTGTACATAACTAACGTTTATCATCATACAATGAAAGTAAATTTTGAGAGTGAATACTGTTACGATAAAACGCATACAATAGTATACCTGAGTATACGGTACATAGACAGAGTCATAGCATTGAAATAATACACTGATCTTGCAAAAAAAACTATTCAAACAAGTTTTGTATAAATTATGTGTTTTAAGTCTACCAAATTGTTGTTGTTTTAACTAATATTTCATCGGGGTTTTTTTTTTCTTGATTTGATTGATTTAGGCCTTTATCTCAAGAAACAATTGAAAACAATTATTATTATGTGTTTGTGTAGGCATATAAACTTGATTACTGTTTGTTAGTTTCGAGAACGACAGCAGCGTTTTAAATTTGACCTGATTAATCGTCATTTGTACACTTTAAAGGCATTACCATGACCACTTGGCAAGGAACTGATTTCCGTCGGAAATAGTAAACAATGTAAGCCATTGAAACAATTTACTTGCTTTATTACTCATCCTTTGCGCGCTCCTGCTTTTCTGAATGTTTGCAACGACAGCTTCCATATAGTGAATGTTGCAATTATACGTTATCAGTCTTATATTCCTTTGATCTAACATGTTGAATTTACTTTAAATGGAATAAGAAGTGGGTAATGGTGAGGATTTTTATATGCAGAAAAATCGAGGTAAGTCGACTAAGAAGAGCTCAAACTCCGGGGTCGCATATATCCGGCCTCTCGGCGAAGAGCAACATCAGATATTTTGTAAAATAAGTACATAAATATGTATTTATCCCATGAAAAATAACAAAATGCAGTATATCATTATTAAAAATTAACTTTCTCATTTTGGAGTAGGGCCCTAACCAGGAGTATAAATGGGTACCATGGTGGTGTTGCCTGCTACTGCAACAATATGGGAGCAAAACTTAAGCGTGGACCCAATGACCAGAAACAAGAAAGCGCCTTGTACCTAAACTGTCTCTTATACACATCTAGATGTGTATAAGANNTACAGTGAAATTAAGGGGCGTTTATTTGAGTATATATGTACAGTATCAATCTTAAATGACACCTACTCCACTATCCACCATATTCGATCGCTCCAGTTACCACAACGAATTAATGAATCATTAAATATATGTTAATCGATATATTAAACTTTTTTTTTCAGAATGAAATTGGAATATCAGAACACCGGACAGCAGGTGGGTTGGACCAATGCAAGCATTATTTTCTCGGGAGGCTATTTAGAAGTTTCTTTAAAACGAACACCCAAGATGTCGACAGGATAGATACTAAATTTGATTTACAAGATATCTATCATGAAAATACATTAGCTCAAACAAATATAAACAAAGAGTCTATGGATGGATTGCCTGTGGATGCGCCACCATTGGCAAGAACCAAACGCAACTGTTGGTACGAGATTGTTTCCAGTTATTCTGGAAAACCCACTTTCACCCTTAAGTGCAACAAGGAAGATAAAGCAACTGTTGTTTCTATGACAACTCAAAGTATACCTACCACGGAAACGAACACAGAAAGTAAATTTGCTAGGAAGTTACTCAGGATTCTTGGTTATGAGATCTATTTAAAGCCAGACTCAATTCACAAGGACCCGACGCTGCCACCACCAGAACTAAATGCTAAAAGTAAAACGCCAAGCGAGTATACACTGGTACAAGCAGACAATGGAAGGAAATTAACTTCAGCTGAGAGAAAACGTGCCGAAAATCCTACTGAAAAAAAGAACGCAAAGAAAAAGGAACGAAGGAGAAAGAACAAATCAAATAGAAATGGAAATACATCAGCGGAGCGAAAACGGGCTAGAAAACGTAAAACAAAGAAACGACGAAAAATTAACCGTGGGAAAAACTACCCAGTCGCTGGAGGAACTTCTAAAGAGATATCTTCAATATGGTCATCCGTAATAGAGCCACTGTCAACAGTTAAAGCAAGACGAATGCCAACCCAAGCTCCACGGACAACTACGAGATTAATTAAGGAAAGGCCTGCAACCAAGTGGTGGATCAAATACAACTGGTTGTTCAACAAATCGGTGATTATTACCGATTCTGATGGTACACATTGGTACTTCCCCACCCTCGATAAGAACCCGCCGACTGCAGTACCACTGACCGCAGCGCCGATGACAACTCAGTCATCAAACGGAGAGGTTACAAACATAGTAACAAGTGCAACAAAGAAATTTCTGTTTACTATGCGAAGGCCAGTATTGCCAACTCTTGGGCATGAGACACGTGTAACTACAACTCTGCAGAATTCGACAGTCGATTACGGTTTGAATCCCGAGGCTTTTCCAGCCTACGCCACAAGAAGACCACTATATGGTGGTGACAATCCAGTGTTTCCCATCTCAGACACACCATCACACAAATGGTTCCCTGGTCAAAACAGACCAACCCACAAATGGTATGGACATGATGTGAGAACAACAAAAGCACACACATGGTTCACTGATAAAAAAGGAGGATCTGAAAAAGACCTACATACATGGTTCGGAAAACAAACTATTAAACCGATAACGTCACACAACTGGTTCCCAGATGTTGGTAAGGGCGGCGGATCGCACACGTGGTTTGGACAAGGAGATGGTACTGCAACAGAGGACAGAACTTATTGGTGGTGGGGATCAGCTTATAGAGACTTTCTTACAGATGAAATATTTGAATCACCTCCGAAAATTCCAGAGAAACTTTTACAAAAACTCTTTAAGGTCATCTCAATCGATACGTTTCGCAAATGAGAGGTAAAACAAGATGTATATAACGATATAAATCCTGTATATGACAAGTTGAGGACAATGTTTGTTGATCACGATATGTATTTTCTGTCTACAATGTATCTGTACATTTGCATAACAAATATATGTCAACATTGCTTAAACTTGGGAATAATAAACGACAAAATGTGAATCAACTTGCTGGACAAGGCACTGTAACAGCATACCATTTATACACTATTTAAAAAAAAAATCAACTTTTAGGTAAAATAGCAAAGCATATGTAATCACTTTCATAAGTGGCGATTCCGTTCTCAAGAACAACACTCAAGCTTCTTTACACAGACTATAAAGCTATTTATGCGGCGCAAATAGTGGAGTTATTTTGGTCGCGAAAAAACCCTGTTTCGTGGCAGGTATATTGAACCCTAAAACAATTAGGATTTGATGGCAAGCATACCATAAAACCAGGAGTTTATAATAATAATAATTTGAACATTTATTAAGTGCTCTTACACAGATGGTCTCACAGCATTAGCATGTATAATGTTACTCAGTATAAGTATGATAGGGAATAATTAGTATGTGTGAGAATAGTTGCAGTGCAGTACACTTCAAATATATTCGAAAGAGTGGAAAAGTAGCTCATTGTGCATTGAATCCAGTGGAAAGGGAGCATTAGCAGTGTCTTGTATTCTTTGGGAAAAGTGCTACAGTGTACAGTGTATAACATTTATACATTAGAATTTAAATCGCACTTTGTACTACCGTCAAATATCGAATTAAAGGTGTTTTGTACTATAAAGCAATCTCATGTCAACACATTTTTAATACTACTAGTAGTTTTGTTTTTATTTTCTGAAATAAAAAGAAACGAATTTCATGATTTAAAAAATATCTTATACTGTAATAGAAGCTTCTGATTGCACTAAGACTAAGATACAGGACAACATTGAGTTCTCAATGTCAACAGAATTTCATGACGTAGCTTTATAGGCCTTATTGGTTTAACAGCGAACGCTAGATTGTGGTTGTTGTCATGATAAAAAGCTACCTATTAATCCAACAGTTACTTGAAATGCCATACTTATTGAAAATAATGGTAATAAATTTGAAAAATTAAATTAGGAAGAGAAGGAGTTCTACCAAGTGATGTAAATTGTGATAAGTAGAGTAGATAGCTGGAGTTATAATGTAAACAATTACTGTACATGATACATTATTTTCTCATAATATTATGAATTAACGTACCAGTTTAATGAGTGCACACTATAAATTATCATATTGGACCAACATTTATCATCCTACAATTGTTGAAAATATAAACATGCTGAACTCTGCATCCTGTGAGGATGCTGTGTGGACAGAACTAGTGCCACTTTAAAGCTGTGTCCAGACTACCAAATTTTCTTTGACAAAAAACTGTTGTATGCCCATATATAGGCATGATGTGCCTATATATGGTCATGATGTGCCTATATATGGTGGTGATGTCATAATGGCCATATTTAGGCATATCACATGATTTTTTTGTCAAACTCTGATTGTCTAGACAGGGCTTAATCATGGCCAATCAATAATCAATCAAAACCTTGCATTCAAAATGAAGTGCATACAGTTATTAAAAAAATATCAGTGTGTTCATAAAAGTAGATGCCAAGAATAAGACATTTAAGACATTATATAAAACCTAAAATGAGCTCAGATTTCACTAGAACGATTGTTCTTCTGTCTTGTATCGCAAGAGGTCCTGATCAAGCTGCCATAACTGGATGAGTTCATTGATACTTGGCCTAGGCTCTGGCATCCTTTCCTGGAGTTCTGAAAGTGATTCCTGGCAAGCTCCCCTCCATTTGTCAATCAGCTTTTGAAGTTCAGATAAATCGTTCTAAAATGATACAAAGAAATCAGATTGATTAAAGTTTCATAGAGATACACACATCATCCCCCACCCTATTCCTTAGCAGCCCCATTCATACCTAATGTACTCAACAAAAGTTACTTTCTAAATGAGATGACTTCTTAAAGAAAGAAAGAGAATGAATTACCTTTGTCCTGTATAATTTCACTAATCTTAATTGACGTAAAGATTCTTGTTTTTGTAAAACCAATGTTCGTAAGGATGCTCTTTCTGTCATTAAAGTTTGCAGTTTCTCTTTCGAATCATCGTTTACTTGTTTCAGTTTCTTTGATTTTGTATTTGTTGAATTTGGGGAAGTCGCATCTGTAGAACATTTTCGTTTTCTTGAGAACGACTGTCCTTCCTCATTTGTAATTGTAATCCGTTTCTTATTATCAATCTCCATTTGCTCTGTTAGCTTATTACCTTGCATGGTTATGGCATTTATTCACAAATTACTATGTTGAGTTTAACATCCTTAATTCAGGCTATATGTAAAATTTGCCACAAAAATATCACGTTCCTTCGGCATACCCTAGCCTCCTTGTCCCTGGATGAAGTTAGACAAGGTCGGAGAAGCAAGCGCGGACCTTCATTCATTCAGAGTCTGGCATTATGGTAATGAAAATGAAATGAGCTGAGCTGGAGCCTAGCAGCCTAGGTCCTAGGCCTAGCTCTAATAACAAACGTAGATTCTAGTCAGAAATTCACTATAAAACGAATACGAAAACGAAAAAGTCGAATTTACAACTTTTGTAAACAAGTTATTCAGAATCAAAATATACCGCTCTGCACTGCAGAGAGAGTTTATAAGGAAAACTATTCATACGAATATGAAATTGTAATTTGTATTGCACAATAGGCATGTTGCGTATACGGTAGTCGTTTACATAGCAGATAATGAGCGGTAATCGCAGTGCACTGTGGGATATTTTATGTAACGGCGCGCTGATTTGATTTGTTTACCTGTTGACCGTAAGTAAATTTCTGGTTTTCTTGGGTAAATACATAATTTCTTTTATTCAAACTTTGGAATATAGTTTGTATATTATTAAAAGTCATTAATAAATGCTAGTGTTATGTGAATATAATTCCGTAATTACATGATGATTATGGTAGCCGATGATTATAGCTAGGCCTAGGATCACTTTACTTACCGCTGCCTACCTACTCACTGACTAAGCGCCGACCGGCGAAAGGATCCTCTGTGACACATGCCCTACGCTTGCTAGCTTAGGCCTAGGAATTTCTGTCAGTCTTCGGGTGTGTCTGTGGTCTTAGCACTGTCACAAAAAAGAAAGGATTTCAAAAATATTCAAGACCTAGCCATAAGTAGTTATCGAACCAAAAAATAAGTGCAGTGACCAATCTACCACACTGACTATCGTTAAAACTAAAACGTTTATAACTTTCGAAGTTAATAGTATACTTGACCTATAGGCCTGGGCTAGCTAGGTCTGGCCCTAGGGTCCAATACTACACAATGTTAATTTATTTTCTAAGAAATATTCAGTTAAAATAATAACCTAATGATGTACTTCATGTGAAGCAATGGATTTTTTTGGGGGGGTTGAGTTTATAAAAGTATTTATATAAGTATAAAAGTACTGTATATATATTCAGGTATACTACACTACATCTTTAAAAAATTGTTTTTTCTCCCAGTCTACAAAAGAGAAAAGTTATGAGGACGCCAAAAAATGCAGGGGCACTTAGTCGGATGACTTCAACCTCCTCGGAATACATCTCCCCATCGACAAGAAGAATCCAGTCAAAGCGGTCCAGTAGCCACACACCAACCTTTGTAAATGTGTCTGAGAATGATGATGCTGCCGAACGGAGACAGCGAAGACGCTCCAAGGTTTTGGAGCTGCAGCGACAGTTGCAGAGTCCAGCCACACCAACAGAAAGAAGGAGATCACTCCCTTTATATGGATTGACCACAGACCAACTGACTGAACACTATTCTAGCTGCATAAAATTGTCTGCTGAGAATGTAAGTTTTATTTTTAAATACACCCATTAAGCAATCTCTAAGAATACTACCTAACTAAAGCAAGTAAACAACATCTATATCATTGATGACGTTAAATCCAATTGCCTCCTTGCTTACAATCTGTTCTAAAATTTGGTTGGTGGAGTTAAATATTTAACTTTATATTTTTTTTGTTCTAGAAAATCAATGCAAAAAATGCATTTGGGCTGCATTTAATTGATTATATGTCTGAAATGCTGAAAGAAAAAATGGGTGAACTAACTAATTTTCAAGTAAGTTTAAAATTGATTGCTATCATCATTTCAAGTCTAATAATCATAATGCCATTAACATCACTACCTCATTTTCTTCACCTTATTCTTTCTCTTCATAACCATTTATAAACTCATTTTGTTGTTGAAGTTTTTTTGCATTCATTATCATGAATCATATGGGGCTTGCCTCGCCAGTACCAGCATCAGTGACCAATAAGAAAATAGCTATTTAATATTTTCATATTCTCCTTATTATAAGGTTTAAAATGATGGGTCATTTATTGTAATTGACTTACTCTAGCCAAAGTTATGATTAAAAGTATTACAGCTTCTCTGTACTAAAGTATACAATACTGCCACATTCTTATGCTAATTACTCAGTTAAAGATTTAGCAACAGAACGTTGGTTTAGAGATGGCAAGCCTCCTTTATTTGTTACTGGTAATTAAAAAATTCACTGAAATAATTGTTGTTTAGATGGCAAGTTGTACACTAGATGCTGGTGCAAAAATCTACGCTGGACGAGTTGATGCTGTGCATGCAGACACTTACAAGGTGTTGAGTGGTCTCGGTCACGGCGATAAGCAGACTCGAAAGGGTAGGAATTTTTCTCTAGGGATTACAATGGGAGGTATACAGGTCTCCCTCCAATTATAGATTCCACATTTTGGACCAGGTTTTCCATGGTCTTTTAATTAGAATAAGAAATATATGTTATTCTTTTAAATCACATCTTATTGTTGTGTCTGTGCTCTGGTTTAGAAGTAAATGTCTTGTGAATGAAAAAAAAAAAAGACAAAAGACATTTGTTGGTTTGGAACCACAGAAAAATTGTCTTTAATTGGAGGTGGTGTTTAATTAGAATGAAACCTTGTATTTATTTATTTACTAGACTTGATACAACCAATGATAGAAATATCAAGATTTTTCTCAAAGATTAAAGAAAATAACTCTATATCAATTGTAAGTATTTATATAAATTTTAAAACAATTATGTTTGATTTGTTAATAGATGACCAAGAGGAGGGTGATGTTGCCAAGACAACAAAAAAGAAAAAAGTGAGTTCATTTGCATGGTTTTACTATGTTAACTTTGCAGCAAAATCTATCAGTCCTCTGTGTTTTACCTCTTCTGTGTCCCTATTTGTCTCTACAGTAGCATTTTAATTTTCTTTCACATTGTAGGTACGTCAGGGCAATACTGTGGTCACGAATTTAAATACTATTACAGCTAATAAAGTGGATGTAGAATTTGAGGTAAGATGATGCATTATAACAGTTTACATATATATATTTATTTATTTATTTAGTTCCAAATATTAGCTCAAGGGCTGTGTTGAGAGCTAAGTACCATACACAAATGCCTGCTAAATAAACATATATTCTTGTTATATAATTTATGTTATGTTGTCGAAGTAGAAAATTCCTAATCATAATTATAAAGTAAAAATGCTCCTCAAAAAAAACTTGTACTTATTAATAAAATTAATTGTGACAATCCCTTTATTTTTTTTAGGTTGATCCCTTGTTCCAGAAGACTGCAGCAGCTTTTGATGAGGGCGGTACATTCAGTCTGCTCCTTAACCACCTTCCTGTGCGTGATGACAGCTGCGAGTTGTTGCTTGACTCGAGCTGTGTCATAGACAATGTAGGTCGGGAGCCAGAAGAAGTTAAAGAAAAGCAGGATACAACTGTTGACCTATCAGAGATCAGAGGTACGGACAGATATAACACTCTGCAGATCAATTATGCACAGCACTCAGGAAATCATGTGCTGTCACAGGATTTGAACCCAGAACTGTATTCGAAGACAAGCATGAGCGCTACATTTCCACTACCATTATTATACATTATCATTATCATTATTATTATTATTATTATTATTATTATTATTATTATTATTATTATTACATTTTTGTATCTATTACCTATGAATTGGCAATGCCAACATGTCTATATTTATTTGTAATCTCAAGTTCATCATTGTATCTCTGTTGAAAGTATTAACATCCTGAGCTGCTATCTCTGTGATTGGTTGTGATGAGAGCATAGCCTCATATCTAGACACACTCCTCAATCTACAGTATGTCTGACATAGGCCTATTTGTTTTTAATTCTCTTCAGGTCACTATAGTAGTGTGCATTTTGAAGCTCTTCAGATTTGTCCTGCTTTTACAGACTTTGAATTCTCAAACTGGAGTCAAAATGGAGAGGTAGGAAGTTAGATCCATCTTACACATTGTAAGCTGCTGGCTATAAAATATCTTTGAAAAGATGACTACAAAGACCATTACAAGTACTTAATAATGTCAAAGGATGGCCATCTATCACTATTTTCACTATTTAACTGACACACAACACACATAAACACATGTGCAATAAATATTATTTATGATGATAATGATTCAAGATCAAAATTGAAGTTTATTTATTGTCCAAGAAAACAAAAATATAGTCAACATCGAAAATATAACAAAAAGATACCATAAAAATTAACTAACTAAAATTATGGAAAAAAGGTATGACCTATGTATATAGAGTTAATAAATACAGTTAAAAGAGACAAGTGATAAATGTGATGTTTATAACAGACTATTCTAAGCAAATGGTAGAGAGGTTTTTAGTTTTCTATTATTAAACTAAATCAATTTAAATGGTGAATTGCAAAAGCTTCCTTAAAGTTGGTGGCAAATTGTTGCATTATTTTTGTTATTTTTCATATTTTTCACTTGTATTTGAACAATAAGAAAATATTCCATATCTTTTTTTTCAGAATGCATTCAGTGAAGTATTTGCCAAGATGGCACAGAGTGAAAAAGCTTTTGATATAAATAGCGTTCCAGAACCAATTGAGGATGACCACCCTGTTGACGATTATGGACCTGACCATTTTAATGGTGGCGATTATAGTGACGATGATAGTGGTGGTGGTACTTGTGGATCAGACCATTTTTCGTTAGGAGAGTCTGTATTTGTGGGTGATGATAAAGAGGCTCAAATGATTACAGAACATCGTAATGGGTAAGATTTATTTTGATAATATATTTAAATTGTAAAAAATGCATACTACTACATTTTTGCTCACATTTTTTTTCTTGAAGGAATTTGATCGTCATAAAATGGGTTCATTTAAAATGCAGTGTTTTTAAACCAGAGCATAGTTGTGTAATGGACAATACTCTGTAACAAGATCTTGTAGATTTTTTTTTTCTGGATAACGTGACTTTGTCTTTGACAGAATGACAATGGCGAGCACCAAAGATGGTAATCTCTGCCTGCAGCTAGCCCTTCAGCCTGGCGAGTACTCCTACTTTAAGCCCAACGCCTTCACAATGTGGGCTGGGCCCGAACATTGGAAGGTTAAACCATTTTCTAAAGGTAGGTTATCATAGTTTTTATCTTTTACACCCAAAAATTGTGCTTAATGAATGCTTTTGATGTTACACTGGGATCGTCGATGATGGTCTTGCCATTTTAAAATAATGAACATATAAATTAGGGTGCTACAAATGTGCTCCAAATGCCCATTGCTCTATACAAGAATCCACTCCAGCGGTTTGTTAACATCTTTAACATTCAACTTTATTTCAGACAATTAATATCCATAAAATATTTTTAAAAAAACAAGACAAGAGAGAAAAGATCAATCAACTAATTGAAATGTGCACAAAACAATTGTGAAACCTCTTAGAAAGGACTAGGCCTAAGTGTACAGTATTATTTTACTTACCACTATTAAGAAAATAAACTGTTTTGTTTCTGACAGAACCTGGTGAAAAGAAAGATGATGGGGTTAAGAAGGCCAAGAAACCTGCATTTAAGTTGGATTATGACCAAGATGTGGATTTCTCAAAGTATTTTTCTACTTCAAAGGTATCAATAGATCATTGTATTAATACGTTATTTAATCAATTAATACATAACTCTAACCCTGTTGCTGTAGCTTGGTGAGTAAAATACTTGACTTCCACTTTCAGGGTAATTCAAATACATGAAACTACCATCACTAAAACCACTCCACTGCCATAAACTCATAAGATCTTTATGTTATGGAGTATTGCATACAAATCCACTAATTGGTAAGGGTACTTGATGTGAATTAATAGTAATTAAAGTGATAATGTAAGATAAAGTATAGTAAAGTCAATCAAGTAAAAATAATGAGTGTGTATTTTTAAATATTTTTTTCAGGCAGCAACTACTTTATCTAAAGTTACTTTGGATAAGAACAAGAAAACACAGACAACATTACCTGAAGATTTACACTACCACCCAGACACACTGTTTAAACTATTCCTCAAACCATCTTTCATGGTAGGTTTTGTAATTCTGTTGTGTCAAACTTTATGAATCACTTGGGTACAGCGTACACACCTATCCACTGGCGTATGCTTTAATCTGAAGCAAAATTTTGAAAGTATTTCTTATCAATAGATATGTATAGTGGACGGTGCAATACCAATAAAACAATAACATTACATCCTTGAATAAATTCATCTGGTTTAAAAAAATAAAAAAAAATCTGGGTCAATAACCAGTAAAACTCCTTTGTTTGTTCACCCCATTGGTTTTGTTATGATTAAAATATTTAATTTATTTACATCATGTTTTGTTTTTGCTCTAAATGGTTGGATCCATTATTTTTCAGGTAAAAAGACAAGCCATAGAAACATCAGAGGGTATGGATGATGGCATTGAGGGATATGACTACAATAATGAGAACGATTGTGCCAACTTCTGTCCTGCTATGGATGTAAGTTGACCAGCTCATATACGTAAAACAGATTAAGCGAAGCAAAATTAGATTAAAAAATCATTTAAATCATTTATTCTTAATTAATTTTCTGATAACTTTGCCATTTATTCAGCTCGGTAGTACTGTACTGCTATTAGTAATTTTATGTACAGTTTGCATGAATAAAATACTAAAAATAAAATATTTAACTTTACATGACTGTTGTTTGTGGAAGTCAGCACTACAAAAAAACCTCATAGAGTGCGCTATATATAATTATTTTGTTGATTCATGTATTAAATGAATTTGCAGGCTGAAGATGACGACTTTGATGATGATGTTGGCGGAGGAGGCGACTGCACTGCCGCCAGGAGTGACTGCAGCAGTAACCTTTTCCAGAGTTCAGTGGTGGGAGATGACAGCATATTCGATACAACGGCATTCAGTGGTGACAAACTAGTTTCGCAACCACACCGGGTAAACATTCTAAAAGTGTTTTTGCTTTATTAAATTAAATTAAATTAGATTAAAAACGTCACATGTCAATCCCACTTATTCATGTGATCATTATTTGTGAGCCCACATTACTCTGTCTGTTTTAATATTAAGACTTTTCATTAGAAATGCTATCACTCATATGCAGTGTGCAACCTCCTCTATTCCTGGAGGAGTATTCGTAGTTAGGCGAAACTTTTTTGATACCTTGTTTCGCGACCTTATGTTTTTTAAGATCATCAGATGAGGGCAGAAAGGAGGGCTGAAATTTCTATTTTTCTTGGTGGCGGATGCGATAATTGGCAAAAAATAAAATTTTACTTATTTGAAATCATCATTATTAGCAGATGGAGGGTTTGCTTAACAAGGTATAAAAAAAGCCCTATGTATGGATATTCAGCATACACCACATACACTCAGCAATAGAACAATAGTCTGCTACCGAGTACTTTAAAATAAACATTCTTATAGTTGCTAAGGGTGTACTAAAAGCCATCATTTAATCTCACACAGTCTAAAACTAAGGGTGCTTCAAAAGCCAATATTCATTCTCATGCAGTCTTTTCTAATTAATCCATTTTGGTGTAGGTTGCAAAGATCGATGTACCATACGCAAAAACTGCAAAGAGGATGGACGTGAAGAAGTTAAAGAGTGCTATGTGGAAGTTGTTAACATATGTAAGTGAGCAAGAAAAGGTAAATGCTGCCACCAACCTTCTGTTTGATTACTCATTTAAAAACAGAAACTTGAATTATAACCAAAAGGTAGCAGGTTAGTCCATATGAGAGGAGGTTTAGATCAGTTTTTATTTCACATGGGAAGACTGATTTCTTACCTAATAATGCACACCAAGATGATTCAAGCAATAATACAAATAATATAAGCTTACTGTTTACACTATAAATGCAGTACAAAAATATGGATGAATATTGGTTTTTTTTAAATATGGTTATTGATTATATAGTAAATGTATGGCCATGAACTTAAATGTATAATGTGTTGAACTAAAAGCCTAAGAAATAAAATTCAGTATTTGAATAACTTAAGAATGTTAGTTGCTTTAAATTTAAAATCAGAAGAAAAACGAATGTACTCTCACCTATGAACTAGTGTATAAATAAAACCATCCCTTAACATTTTGTAGTTAACTGTAAGTCAACAAAAACATGTTTGTTTTGATCTTTGTATTATTATTATTACTACTTATTATTGGAATTGAATTGTAGTATACCATGATGACTTAATAAACCATAAAACCTTGAATAAAAGCCCTATGCTTCTTATTTATTTTAAGATTCTTTGGATGGACTTTTTTTCAAGGTTACTTTTGCAAACTAAAGAGTGGGGCTTCTTTTCAAAATGATTGCTGTAAATATTTAGCATTGCTACTATACAACATTTTCCAACTATGGAATTCAAAAATTCTGTTTAATACTTTTTACTTTTAACCAAGTTTGTAATAATAAAATAATATTGATGCTGACAAGCTATCATAATCAACGATGACATCAGACTGAATGTAAATTAGTACTGTCTCGAAAAAAACCCCATACTATCTTGATTTGAAGCCCATGGGCTTCTTTTCGAGATTAATTTTGCAAACTAAAGAGGAGGTGCTTCTTTGCTTGAAGGGCTTCTTCTCGAGATTAAGCCCATTGGGCTTCTGTTCAAGGTTTTATGGTGTATCATGTATTTTAAAAAACAATGTGTTTCTTTCATCATTAGGAAAACATTGTAGAAAATGAGAAAAATCAGAATGAGGAGAGAAAAGAAGATAAAGTCACTCAGCAGAAATCATTCAAAGAGATGTACAGCACTCTGCCCAGAGAAATCTCAAAAAACATGTCAAAGAATCTCAGCGTACCTATTGCATTTGTCTGCTTACTACACTTATGTAACGAGAAGGTATGTACTGGACTGACTATGTGTCGTAGGTCATGGATAAATTTTATACAGTGGAATAACGAGAACTAAACCAGATATGACAGTACATTATAAATTCAGATCAAATTACAATATGATTTTCAAATTGCTTTAGAATTGTAAATTCAGTTTTTTTTATTTATGCAGCCATATGGTTTAAACCAAATGTGGTGGTTAGTGTTTGGTGATTTCTGCCAATTTTATAGAGTAATATTAAATAGCCATTATATATTGACCCAAGATAACAAATAAAAACAAAATTGTACTTTCTTGTGTTATTTTGTCAATATGGATATTTTCATCCTTTTTAACACATGGTTTTCAATTATTTTTCAGAATCTGATTGTTTCAACAAAAGGAAATATGGACGATTTGAATATTATACAAACTAATGTGGAAAAAATAACACCCACGTAACATGCATTGAATATCCACGCAATATAACATTTAATACTCACACAACCTTTGTATAATATTGTACATATTGTCTTAAAACATTTGATAAGAAACTACAATATGTTATTGAATAGTGAAAATATTACATAACATAATCACTGAGTGAATCTATGTAACATTTTCTTTTAAAAAACATATAACAATTTGCTTTATTAAAGCTGGAGCAAACTTTGTCAAAATTGTAGAGCTATAGGCGTTTACACTAATCTATATTTGAATACTTTTATGCACGTCTGGATATTTAAAACTATTTGTAGCTTGCAGTGAAGATGTAGCTTGGTATAAAATGCTTGCCTACCAGTCTCAGAGTTCTGGTTTCAAATATTTTCAAAAATATAATTTTTATGAGGTTCATTTAAATAAATATGTTATTTAACAAGCAAAATTGAGGCTTCAAATTGGTAAACAGTTAAGATAATCATGGCCTACTTTTTTTCTACCTCTGATCATCCCTGCTTGATACGGTATTTTCTTTTTCTACATAAAACCGTGTCAAATGTGTACTCTTTTATTCTCTTAGTAATGTGATATACTGTAGTATGAATGTATCATCTTGAATAAAGTGCTTTTGTACATAAAACAAAACAATGAAAGCTATGACGTCTCTTAAATACAATCTCTCGGTTTTTATTGTTCTCGAGAGCATTTAAGCTCGGAGATTAAGTGTTGTTTAATGTTTATCATTTCTATCCACTGTGTTGAGAAGTGAAAGAGATTGTAGGCTTGGCATTGATGTTAGTATGAAACTCCTTTATTCGGTGGGTATAAAGTCTTCCGTCATTACACAGATTTATATTAAATATTTAGGAAAAATGCATGTCCTTAAAAACAGTTAGCTAAACATACGATGAATATTTTAGTACATGTATCATATCCAATAACTATTTAACTGAATGTATATTTCTTGAATGAAGATGAGTTTTCAAAACTATTTGTCATGAAAGGGAAACATCACAATAAAAAAAAACAAATGTAGTGATATAAAGATGAACCATTTTGTTAATTGTATCAAGATTCGTTGCTTTCACACGACTAAATGCAGTACCTTGCTAAAAGTTAGTGCAAATGTATAACTGACCAAAAATAAGCCGCGTCCTTTTATTATTATGCACACAAGACCTTTACCGGCCTATTTTATTTCTGAGATGTAGAGACATTGGTATTCAATATTATGCATTCTCACAAGCGAAATATCCTTGCTAGGGAAAGTACCTTTGTTAATATTTAGTATATTTTATATGAACAGGCATCCAATTTGGAAGAAATTCCTTAAAGCCTGGTTTCTATAAAAATCGCTACACACTATAGCCGACTCCTCTGGCGACGCTGATTGGTCAGTTGAATCAGGGAGCATTTCTGATTGCATCGTGGACAGCTATGCAATGCAAGAATTGCAGTGAAAATGCTGTATTGATTATATGAAAACCAAGCTGAACATAGTTTGTTATATTGCTGTGCATGGTGATATCCATCGGCACTGACTTCTGTAAGACAATTGATAATAAAGTAGTAAAAACATGCAAATATTATGAATTTGCAAGAGATGGGTTATTTGCCAGGAGATTTCTGCTTGCTTTCAGGAGACTCCCACGTGAATCACTACTAAGAATGTTGATAATTGGTGTGGTGATGATAATCACAAGAACAAAATAAACATCTGAAACCAAGATGGAGTAGTAGCTTTGTGCTTTAATAAATACCCACATACAGTAAAAGCAAATAAATGCATTACTTATCAACTGCCTATGTACCTTACGTACAAACATCACAAAAAAGAAATAATAAAAATGAAGAAAACATGACAAAGATAGCATGACTACTAAACACTATAATCTACTTCAAGACAAAGTTTCCTCTGTTTTTCATCTAATGAAACGCATGTGAAGATTGTCCACAGTTGCCGTGATTAACTATCACTGGCTATCATCACTTTGCAGTATACATTTAGATATCTCAACATTCAAAAGAAACAATCACCTTACATTAAACATGGGATTTCTAAAATTTTTTGAGCTGTGCAAAATTTTAAGGAGCATAAACAGATTCACTTTCATAATCATTGGATTAACTTTATTTGACCTTTAAAACGCCAAAGGTCATTCCCTATGGAACCTGTTACATTTTCAATACAACATTTACCAAATTTTGACCATTTGTTTCCCTAACTTTATTACGTAATTCAATTAAAGTTGAGCATAAGTTCAAATAATGATGAAATTGATAGCTTGTGAAAAGCAGCATAGTATTCTACGAACCTGTAAATGTATGCATATAACATCTACTTTAACCTGTTGGTGAGAATCTTAAAAAGTAGATTGTACGACTAAAGTGTTAACAAAAACATAAGCATAGAAACCTGATTTTTATCTATTACCAATAACTCTCACATGATTTCTGGCAAAATATGAACATGAAATTCCAATCATTCTTATAAAATTACATATAAATTAACAAATTACCTCTCATCTTGTTTCAAATTCAAAAATACAATAAATATTTTAAAGGCAAAGACTATGTTTAAAAGGAATTTGGATGGTAATGGAGTTGGTATGGCCACAGACACATGGTACGGCATTTACAAGGGATGGACGGCCAAACATCTGAGGGATGGACAGAGAATAGCATTGAAATCTAAGTAGTTCCATAACATTTGTCTTGGCGAGCATTAAATGACTTAAGATCCCTTATTAGGCCAACAACAAAAATGATTGTGTTGCTCAATCACAGTGATCATGATTGATTGGTTGGCATTTCTTTCCCCTTCATTAACTATTGGCCTAGGCGTAATTCTTGGACTCCAACCACCACTCTCCACATATATTTTGGTTGATAATAATCACAAGGCTGGGG